TTTCGACACTTCCTAGAAGGTTGGCAGTTCCATATCCTCACCGATCACAAGCTGCTTACGTGTCAATCGACCGCTACCAACTCTGCCCACACCCCACGTGAGATCCGCCAGCTTGCCTACATATCGGAGTTCACAAGTGATATCCGGCACATCAGTGGCAAAGACAACCCCATTGCTGATGTGCTTTCTCGAATAGAAATGAACGCAACTATGGATGAGCGCCCACCAGTCAATTTTGCAGCCATGGGTACTGCACAACAAGGCGACAGCAAGCTTCAGGTATTGCAACTTCAAAAGAACTTCATCAAGCTTAAAGATGTCCAACTTCCAGGATGCGCGATTTCTCTTGTTTGCGACACCTCTACCGGTTGTCCTCGCCCTCAAGTTCCAGCACCATTTCGCTGCAGAGTCTTCGACGCTTTGCATTCTTGTCGCACCCCGGTATACGTGCGACTCAGCGCCTCATCACAGGGTGATATTTATGACCTCGAATGAACATCGACGTCTGCCACTGGACACGCGCTTGTCTCAAGTGCCAGCTAACCAAAGTCCAGCGCAACACGGTGAGTCCACTGAGTACATTCACGCCTCCTGACTCGCAGTTCAGTCACGTGCACCTGGACCTTGTAGGCCCTTTGCCCCCATCGCAAAACAGCCAGTATATGCTAACCTGCGTAGACCTGTTCATGTGGTGGCCTGAGGCCCTACCCCTCACCGACATCATGGCAGAGTCAGTGGCCCACGGACTCATCACCGTGTGAATAAGCTGCTACGGAGTTCCCAAGACCATCATAACGCATCATGGTCGTCAATTTGACTCCGCGCTCTTCTGCACATTGTCATAAATGCTTGGTGTCAATCACATCAAGGCGGCGGCCTACCATCCAATGTCGAATCGCATGGTTGAGCGATTTCACCGCCAACTCAAAGCTTCGCTCATGGCCTCGCAATCGTTGATACCCTGGGCGGAGTGACTACCACTCGTCCTCCTCATTCTGCACAGCTCGATACGTACTTACGCGTCCTTCTCCTCAGCTGAGCTCGTATTTGGCACTATCTTAAGGCTTCCTGGACAGTTTTTCGACACGTCACCGGTATCACCCTTGAACGTAGCTGATTATGCCAGTCTCCTCAGGAATGCCATGAAAAATGTGTCCCCTATTCCTGCATGTCAACACTCACGCCCAAGTTTCGTCAGTCGGGTGCTCCGCGACTGCACCCACGTTTTTGTACGACATGAGGCAACCAGACCGTCACTTCAAGCTCCGCACGGCGGACCCTTTAAGATCGTCAAGCATTGCCCGAAGCTTTTCGTTCTGTTGCTTAATGGACTCGAAGACAGTGTCTTCATTGACTGTATAAAGCCGGCTTTCTTCGACACTGACGCTGTCCTCGAAGACTACAAGCCATCCGCGAAAACCAGACGAACGCGCTTTGCAATAGCAAAACCTACAACCTGCTCATAGTGTTCGCTCCTTCGCGCATGGGCTACCTCGCTAGAGGGGGGGCCCTCTGGCAAGCCGTCAGCGTCTCGGAGAAGACGAAGTAGGTGTGCGGCAGCTGCTCCCTGTGTTCGAGCCAGGACGAGAGAAGATGATGCCAGAAAGAACAACAGCGTCTGTGGACGTTCAAGCCAGAGCAGGGATAAATAAATGATGTAGGAAACTAAACGCCGCACGTCTTCCTACAAATCCATGGCTGGTCACCTGAGTGGCTCGAAAGTTTTTGCAAAACTGAGCCGTGTTGTGACCTGGCCTGGCACAAAGCGTGACATATTCTTCGCTATTGCCGTTCTTGCCACATCTGTCAAACTATGATGTCAAGGGGTGGCAAACCGCCCGGTCTCATGAAACCGATTGTCAGTGAGCATCTGTGGCAAATGGCCACCTGCAATCTAATGGGCTCGTTTCCCAATGCTGAGCAGGGGTTCGTTCACCTGATGGTAGTTGTTGATCACTTTTCGAATTTGGTGGAATAGTTCCCTTACCGAAAGCTGACAGCGCGAGCGGTGCTCGAGAAGCTGCAGGAAGTGTTTTACCGGTTGGGCTTCCGGGAAAGGCTCATCACGGACAATGCTTCGTATTTCACCACTCGGGTGTTTGGTGCCACTGCTGTTCTCCCGGAATCGATCACTGTACCACTTCACCCTACCATCCTTGTCCAATTTCATGGAGTGCGTAAATCTTATGCTCAAACTGATGTTGGCGGCCTTTGCTGAAAGTCAAAGTGACTGGGCAGATTATTCTAGTGAGTACGTGTTCGCTATTCAGAAATTCGAGAATCGCTCGACTGGTTTCTCGCCCGCCTTCTAAAATTTTGGAAGGGAGTTGGCAAATTCGGTGACCAGCCTCATTCATTGCCAGCTTGAGGATGAGGAGACGTAGGCAGACTGCTCTGCTTATGGGCGGACACTTAAAGACAGGCTTTGTTGAGCTTTCAGCAAAGCAAGGCAAAGTTTGGCGTCGGCCAGGGCTCAGCAGAAGGCCCAATATGACCGCAAGCATCACGACTTAGCTTTTGAGGTGGGCAATCTTGTCCTGAAGCGTAACCATGCTCTTAGCGATGCGAGTAAAGGGTTCCCAACCTCGCTCGCTCCTAAGTGGCTTGATCCATTCCGAGTTGAGAAAGCTTAGACTCCACTCGCATGCTTGTTGAAAGATCTCCATTTGGGAAATCTCAGCTGTGCACATATTGCAGACCTGAAACCCTTTTTATCACGGTCTGACGAGCTCGCGCCAGCACCCTGCGGCACTTCACGCAAGCAACGGGGCACACCCGGAGCGGCAGACTCCATTCGAACCCTGCACCGGCATAGTCTGAGGAAGCGGTCACATTTGTGATTTCGTGCTGGACGCGGACTTTTTACGCAACCGAAGGTCCTCAGTTTACTGTCTAGCCTCAGTATAGGCTAGCATCTTTATGGCCTGTTCTCGTAAAAAAGTCGACCTCGCACGGCTTGTTGCCGGTGTTTCATTCAAGTGTTCATTTGTATTTTATGTTTTTGTGTTCTTTTGGCCTAATGTTGAGTGTAATTTTTGCTCTGTTTAACACTTTTTGTGCTGTCTTTTATCTACTGGCAAAGGGAGTTGTGAACTTCAACATCGGTGCTTATGCGTGCATGCTTTGCACCTTTGCTTGTGCAGTCGGCGGCGGTGTGTGTGTGTGTGCGTGCGTGCTTATGTACGTGTGTATGTGTGTGATGCTTCTGTGCATGCCCGGGGAGAGTGCTCATCGTGGTTTCTTCCCATCGACATGGACACTATAGGTGCTCATACTCTGACCTGCTGACGTCAGACAGTCTGGCTGTGCCCTTCTCTCAGCCGTCGCTGGAAAGCCTTGCTGCCTCTTTCTACCTAGCTCCTGCGCGAGGCCAGGCAACCATTTCTGGTTCAGCCACCCTGATCCCTGGAGAGGCCCGGCTTCCCAGCCAGGTTCCCCTATCATCCATCAAGAAATGAGGGGCCTCCGAACCACCACCAAAGCGGTGTTCATTGGACATGCTGACCAATCATCGACAGCAGCCACGAGACATCAGGGAGCCCCTGTGCCTCTGATCTTGCACATGGGCATCGCACTCAGCGACCATTATCACTCTTTACTGCCCCTCCGCGCATTGGATGCGATCCTGCCTCCGCACCACAAACACTAGCCTTACTTTCCTTACTCCCTTTCGCAAACATTTTGCAGTGTCTATTTATTTTATTATTTGTGTTTCTTCTTTGTCATCGTTTTTTTTTAGCAGCAGTTACAGGGCTGGACTAAGGTTAGCTGTTGCTCATAGCAGTGTCATTTTAACTGCATAGGTGACATCCGGCTGCCTTTGCAGACCGGTAAAGGGCAAATTTAGCAGAGGGGGATGTGGGAATTGAGGCTAGCCTGCCACCATTGCGCGGGCTTTGTGGCTTATTTCTGCCGTTCTCATATCCTGACGTGGCTCTTCCCTCTTCCGCTGTCTGTCGCGCTGGGGGAGTGGAAATGAGTATTAACCCCTCTCACACAGCAGCGGATGTCGACTGTGGTGCCGTGCATTTGCACAGCATCTACTACGCACAAATCATCTTAATTTTTGTGAAGTGTGCATGCACTCACTGTGCCTTAATTCATTATTCTTTGGAGAAGCGTGAAACTCGCTGCACACTTGTAAGGCAATATGCGCTCTTTGTTGTGGCTGATGACGATTCAAAATTCTGGCTGAGCCTCTGGTAATGCCTTGGAAGCATTCAACGACCCACTCATGGTGCGATTCGCGTTGTGTGGCACCTGGTTGTTACTTTACCCTTCTGAAGTGCTCTATTTCAAATGTTAACACGACTCCGTACCCGACATGAGGCTAACATAGGGCCTGTTCGCAACTGGGATTCAAGCACAGGCGTGGACGTGTAGTTGAATGTGTGGTTGCCACACAGAAAGGCTGTGTTTGAATCTCATTGCATTGTTGGTATTTTTTTATTTGTTTCATTTTTTGACGCAGTTGGTCCTACCCTACTTGACAAAATTTATTATTTATCACGTAGTGGATACTTCCCTCTTCCAGTTTTTGCTGTGACTGTGCTGCGCTTTCTGCACAGAAAGCGCACTTTCCTTTAATGCTTCAAGTCCTTTATTATAATGCCCAGACATTGTTTTGATTTCATGTCTTTTGCGCAGGATCACCGACATGGTGGCTCAATGGCTATAACATTCTTAGTATGTATGAGGTTTTCGGTTCATTTTTTCGGCAGTAGAGTTTTGGTGTACTTTTAATTGAGGAAGGACAATTATTGTCATTAACCCATTTGTAGTGCAAAGCCTTAATTTTTGTGGACTTGAGCACAACTGATTACCATCGTTTAATTTTTACAGACAATGAAACCCTTCTCCATGGTGTTTTTGGCAACCTCTTTTTAATTTTTACAGACAATGAAACCTTTCTCCATGGTGTTTTTGGCAACCTCTTTGTTGCTTTAGAATATTAAAATCTACTAATGGTCATCTTCCTTGACTCGTGCTCAATTTTCTAGAAGAGCACACACATTTAGTGCAGCGTGTAGCATGCCGTCTGTATGGCCACATCTCGTCAGTCAAGGCACTGGCTTGCTGCCGTCCCTCAAATCTTCCTGGTCAAGAGGAAAGGCTACTCGCCTCAGTGGGAGGTCGTGCTCAGCTGTGCCTCTGGCGAATCAGTGCCTCAAGGCAGTGTGAGTCTTTTTGTTCATATTCATTATAGATTGTGATCCACACCACGTACCTTTGTGAACAACTGTGCGCGAGCTCCTCAATAGAACCAATTTCTTTTTTATAACTTTAACTTCAAATCGAAAATGGTAGGTCAAACTTAACATTTGGTCATTGCATGCGGTATGTCCGAGCAATTTTGGTGGCCATCTCAATAGTGTATGAAAACTTATTGAAAAGAGTAAATTCCTAGAATATGTTGGACTGAGAAAAAGTTTGGTTCTTTGGAATGCCTGCATTTAGTGCAGTGCTGTTTTCTTAATGTAATATGGCATTATGGATGAATACGTCAGCTATGGCTGAATAAACGAGCAATGAATACACTTACAGAAATATAGAGAGTACTGCAAGAGCAGAGAAACTGTAATATTCTCCCCAGAGTTATTTAACTCTACTAGGGAATACAGCAAAGCTAGCCGCGGAACTTTTTTTCTGAAGGCAGAGTAGAAGACTGTAAATGCTTTGCTACTCAGGTGGAGTTGCCAATCTATGCAACTCTCGTGCCGATGAGGCGTGCATGGGGTCTAGCACTACGTCCTTGCTGATGGAGTACAATCTAGCATCTGCGTATCCCCACCGACGCCCCTAAGCAATATAACTGTCTCGTAACCATACGCCTCAGACTGTAGACACCACAGATGTAAGTTTAGTGCGTCAAATTAATAGGATAACTTTCAGTGATGACAAAAGCATGGTTTTGTAATCATAAACGTTTCGTTCCCGAAGCGCTGATAGCAACAATTTCGAAGCAAGCAACAGCAGGAATGCCACACTTGTTAATAGCTAAAAGGCAGCGCCCTCAAGCGGCACTGTTCGGGCATGCTTTATTTGTTGTGTCTGGGTTTTGGGGAATGGAACATGAAAAAAGTAAAGCCTCAGTTCTATCTGGGCTCTCATGTGCCAAGTCGTTCTTGTTCAGCCCGGGAGCCCAGAAACGAGGTGGACTGCTGGCAAGCGGAAACCAAAAGAACTTTATTCTCTCTCCCCAAATCCCCTATATACATGGATGGATGGATGGATGTATTGATGTGGCTGTACCCTTTAGATCGGGTGGCGGCTATCACCACCTAGCCTTAATACTTAGTGAACCAACAACTAAATTTATCTTTTTTTTTCTTTAAATAGTGAAGTTGAGGACTGGTACTTTGCAGTGAAAGGTTTAATTTTCACTTGTGCCTTGACTTTAGCCACCAATCAGATAACCTCCTTTTAGTTAAATCTACCCGTTTAAAGTCCATTTTGCCCTCCCTGTCCCTAAACCCCAGTGCTTTGAAAAACTCTGGGCCATCATCCTGAACTATAGGGTGAAGCCCTTTACAGAACATTATCAAGTGTACGGCAGTTTCTTTCTCCTCTCCACATGCACTGCATACTGTGTTTACCCCTTCGTATTTCGCCCGATATGTCTCTGTTCACAATACTCCCGTCCTGGCCTCAAAAAGTAGAGAACTACCCCGAGTATTATCATAGACCCTTTCCTTGGCAATTTCCTGCTTAAAAGTTCGATAGATCTCTAGTGAGAACTTCTTAATCATGTCAATTCTCCACATGTCGGTCTCCGTTTTTTTCACCTTCTTCTTACCCGATAGTTCTTTTTGGTTTGGCCCCCTGCTGTTTTCTAAGTATTTACCCGTCAATTTTCTAGTTTGCTTCCTCCATTTTGTATCAACATTCTTCATGTATAAGTAGCTGAAAACCTTCCAAGCCCAACGCTCCTTCCCCATTTCTCTCAATCGCTTCTCAAATTTCATCTTGCTGCTAGCTTCCCTGCCCTCAAATGATGTCAATCCCATATCACCTTGTACTCCCTGATTTGGTGTATTGCTGTGAGCTCTTAAAACAAGCCTACCTAATTTGGTAGGCAAGCCTACCGAATTATTATGTGTACCTCCCCTATGTAATGCCTTACGACGATGTAGGTGAAATGTAAATAAATAAATAAATGAAATACCTATTCCACGTTTCTTAATTTCTATTCTTGCTTGAACTTCTAATCTCATGCACAAGACCGCATTGCCGAATGTCAGACCAGGAACCATGACCCCTTTCCATATGCCTCTCAGAACATCATACCTACTGTAGTTCCACAGTGCCCTGTTTTTCATTACCAATGCATTCCTGTTACCTTTAGTCCTCACGTATATTTCGTGTTCCCGTTGGTACTCGGTCCCATTGCTTATCCATACGCACAGATATTTGTATTTATCTGTTACCTCTAGCGTGACCTCCTGTATCCTAAGCTCACTACCTTCATTATTATTAAAAATAATGGCTGCTGATTTTTCCTTACTGAATCTGAAATCTAACTTATCTCCCTCATTAACGCAGATGTTCATCAATCTCTGCAAATCTTCCTTGTTGTCGGCCATTAGCACTATATCATCTGCCTACATCAATGCTGGTAGTGCCTGTTCAATGAGTTTTCCTCGTTTGATGAAAGAGAGGTTGAAGCTCAGTCCACTTCCCTCTAATTTGGCCTCTAATCCTTGTAGGTACATCATGAATAACAAGGGTGACAGAGGACACCCCTGCCTAAGCCCCCGTTTTACCTCTGTGGGCTTGGATACCTGTTTTTTTTCCCACTTTATAACTACCTTGTTACTTTTATAGATATACTTTAAAAGATTAGTGACTTCATCTTCCACACCTAGTGTATTCAGTGTTTCCCACAAGTTCTCTTGAACTACACTATCGTATGCTCCTTTGATATCCAAAAATGCTAGCCACAGGGGCCTGTGTTTCTTTTCTGCTATTTCGATGCACTGTGTCAGTGAGAACAGATTGTCTTCTAACCTTCTGTGTTTCCGAAACCCATTCTGCAGTTCCTCCAGCACCCCTCATCCTTTATCCATGCCAGCAGTCTTTCCTTTATAATCTGCATCGCCAGCCTGTAGACCACTGATGTCACTGTTATAGGACGGTAGTTGTTTTTGTCAGCTTTGTCCCCTTTTCTTTATACATCATGCTCATCCTGCTAAGTTTTCATTCATTCGGGACTTTATTATCGATTATTGTTTTGTTCACTGCTTTTCTGAAGATCTGCTGAGACTTCGGACCGAATGTCTTTATCAGCATAATTGGAATGCCATCTGGGCCTGTTGATGTACTACTAAGAACCCTCTGCCTAGCCCTTTCCCACTCTCATTGTGAAAATGAAGTCCATTCACTCCATGAAGTAGAAGCGTCATGAAGCTGCTGCCTTTCTGTAAGGGTCCCTCGAGAAAAAGACGCCTCGAATCCTTATCACCTCTCAGAGCGAGGCTTTGACGGTCCCACAGTACAATTGTTTCGACAATCGCGCGCAACTTTGTTTGCTTGTATTCGAGCTTACCCTTAGCTTGCTGATTAAGCTGTATGTGGACACTGCTTGATTTTACCATGGCGACTGTTGCTGTGTTGCGTAGCAACTGTGTTGCTACGTTGGTGTGTTGCGTAGCAAAGCTCAAGGGATAGCGTGGTTCACTCGCCCAAAGAAAACGTGTTTGGTGATACGGTCAGTCAGACTGTTGAAAAGTACGAATAGATGACGTTGATTGATTGATTTGAGGAGATTAACGTCCCCAAACCACCATATAATTATGAGAGTCGCCCCGCCACGGTGGTGTAGTGGCTAAGGTACTCGGCTGCTGACCCGCAGGTCGCGGGATCAAATCCCGGCTGTGGCGGCTGCATTTCCGATGGAGACGGAAATGGTGTAGGCCCGTGTACTAAGATTTGGGTGCACGTTAAAGAACCCCAGGTGGTCGAAATATCCGGAGCCCTCCACTACAGCATCTCTCATAATCATATGGTGGTTTTGGGACGCTAAACCCACAAATCAACCAACCTGCTCGACCTTGCACGACCTTGCATGACTGCACTCCTAACAGGCATGTGGCCACACTCAGTGCACAGTAGTGCCTCCTGTGGCCATATGCTGCAAGGAACACTGGCAGTACTCTCTACATCCCTTCTTTTCACATTTTATGGGGCAGGTCCTTACAAGTTCAAACGTCAGTGCGACCTTCTATATGACCACTGTGAGTCCGCGTCACAGTTTCTTGTGGTGTTACTTGTGACTGCACGAGTTCTCGCGGAGCTTCAGGTTGCAAGTTCTTGGGAAGGGCTGGCGAAGAAGCTGCTAGTTGTGTTGAACTCGTTTCTGTCGAATGAGGCACCAGGTGTCGACAATTACGCTGCAGAACGCTTCTGGGGGTCTGAACAAGGTATGACCGTGGATGCTGGGCCTGTGAAAGCATTTCCCCACTGCAGCACTTGTCGGTGACCAACACACAGTCGCCAGGACTTAGAGGGGTCAGCTCACTTGAAGCCCTACAGCGATTGTAGTTCTTTGCTTGCTGTGCTTTGCAACCCGTATTCTTTTCCCTGCAACTCGTACGACACGGTAATGACGGCAGTAGTTGTTCAGGTAGTCGTAGGAGACATGTTTGCAATTTCCTTCCCATCAAGGCTTGGGCTGGAGAAATGCTGTTTGGACCGGGTGTGTCACGGTATGACAGCAAAGCCAGTTTAGGGTCAGGACTTTCGGAGAGCAAATCTTTTACCGTGCGCACCATGCGCTTTGCTTCTCCATTGCTCTTGAGATACCTTGGACTGCTGATCTCATGACGGAAGCCATATGACTGTGCAAACTCTGCAAACTCACGTGACGTGAACTGCGGTTCATTGTCGGTTCGGACTACATCTAGTATGCCAAAACGGGCGATACAGCTCTTGATTGCCGAAATGACGGCTGGTGCCGTGGTGGACCTAGCGAAGACTACTTTGGGAAACCTGGAATAATAATCAACAATCACAACGTAATCGTGCCTTTTCAATTGAAACAGATCGATGCCTAAGTGATGCCATTGCCTGTCAGGTGTAAGCATTGGCAACATAGGCTCGGATCGCTGAACTCTTGTCTCAGCTCGTACAGCACACTGCAACACCATGTGATCCACATGCATGTTACAGTTAGGGCACC